TATCTGATGGTAAATTCAGGGAAGTGTAAAAAGGTCATTTCTCACAGGGCTTATTTACTAAAGTGAGAATTGAAAGTGAATTTTAAATTTAAGACCAGAGTAGTTGAACTGAAACAACGATGAGAATTTTTCTAGTTTGGCTATTTTGTCCTTAAATTTGAAATCCACTTTAAATTAATGTTTTCTCACTTTAGCTAATAGCCCTGTTAATCAGCACTGAAAAGTAAAAAAATTAAAACACTCTCACACAGGTGTTTCTAAGCGTTCCTTTAACTGGTTGTGTCATGAAGTCCTTGTAATTATTTAGCTTGCTGAAGTGCTATATGTTTCTGCAGTCCGTCCTCCCCCACCCCCATTATAAAATAGAAATTGGCACGTTTCTAAGTGGGCACCACAATACCTACCCAGTTGTGAAATCATACAACCAGGGAGGTTCATAAGCTTCCCTTCACTAAGACAAGTAGCAGGTGTGCTTAAACTAGAGAGCGCCTGCCTTTCCCTACCCTGGCTATGTATGCGCACTTGCTGCAACTGTAGTCCAGCTCATTGGGCTCATGGCTCGACCACAGAATATTCTCAATGAGTAAGAAGAGCTTGCAATAGCTGCATCCACCAGAGCAGCAGTTTATACAAGCTATTTTTTCACATGCCCCAAAGATGACATGCAAAGCAAAATATGGTTCTGGGAATCGGGTAAAGAGAGACAGAGACCAGCTTTCTTTAAATATAATGAGGTCCTGAGATTACCTGCACTGGGTTTTCTGTGTCCTTAATGCCTGCTTTGACCACTCTTCCCAGTCAGACCCATTATTTTACTTTGCAGATTAAAAGTAGGCTATTGATTCAGTGGCAATATACTGTTTGACAGAGACAGATTACCATTAGGCGGTCTAGGGCCTGGAGCTCGGACTTTGAGGGAGCGCTCTTTGAGCTTACAGGGAGATCAAAACAATCTCACTGCTCAACCCTGAGCCCTCTCATCTGCTCAAGGTAGTGTTGTGTTCTGTACTCATATTGATCATTCTTCCCTGGCACTATTCAATTACTCTGAGCGTTACTGTTGGTGATCAGTATTGCTATTGGTGCAGACACAACACTCCCCCACTGGACCACCAGGGAAAGGTAAACAGGAGAGGCAAACACACACACAGGTAGATTCCCAGATGTTGTAGAACTATAACTCCCATGATGCTTTGCATGCCTTTAGAATGACAAAGCATCATGGAAGCTGTTGTCTTAAAACATCTTGGGATCTACCTTTTGGGCACCCCTGCATTACACACAAAGGCACACTCAGCCTCCTCCACTGCCTAAAGTCCTGTACGTTGTGTGGAATATCGATCTTTCATGGGTTATTTTTTTGAGTGCAAGCGGTTTAACGTATTACACATCAGATTTGCCTATTTACAAATACCAGAAATTGCCATTTCAGGACATATTTGAACATAAAATTGTTAGGTCTGGTGTCTTTGTGGGGTTTCTTTCACAATCTCTGAATTGAAAGAAATAAGAGTAGAGGTAACAGGATCCTGTTCCAGACACTCCCTTTGCAAACAATTGTCAGATATGCCATGGTTCAATTAATTTATTTAGTTTACACAGCTTCGTTGTTCTTTACAGAAAATGATATTGATTGAACAAATTGTTGAAGCTTTGACTAAAGTGTTACCAGCCAAAAGGCAAGGCAACACATCAATTTAATACGAAATGTGTCTGGAAGCTTTGTGTAAAGGAATACTGCAGGCTGAATTCATGCATTAGAACAGGGATTCCCAACCCAGTCCTCAAGTACCCCGCTACCAGTCCAGGATTTAGGGATAACCCTGTTGTGTCTAAAGTGTTTTTCTTTTTTTTTTCTAAAATAACACCTCCGACACAACTGGGTAATTAATTCTTTCAGGCCTTCACGCCTGATGTACCACAGGATGTTACTATTTGATATCCCTCATAGAATCCCCAAGCCTATACATTATGAAACTACTACTGAGGAGCAGCAGAACACAAAGGGTCATGGCTCCCACTTCTAGCTAGTTTGTGGAACACTACATCAATTGTGTTAAATCAGGTAACGCACATTAGGAATTATGAAATTTCAGCAAGACAGCATATTTTAGGAGGTAAACACTGGCGTACGGCTTGGGAAATTTGAGAAAACGTTAGACGTCATGAGAGTTTAATATTGAAGCAGCTTCTAATATATAAAACTGCTAAAGATCTTAACCGCAACAGAAATGGGTGCACCTATAAAAGGAGTGCTTCAGTATATCTACCTTCAACTCCCCCCCTTCATTTTAGTCCTGCAACACTGCCATTTAGTATATACTGTAAAAGTGTTTATAAATATATGGGGGGGGGAAGAAAAGGTGTATCAAAATGCTGAGCACACTATAGCGTTAAGAATACAGGTTTCTGTTCCTTTTGTGGTTTTACACTCTAATGGCCATTGCACACGCATGGAATAACACACATTAAAACACAGAAATAAACACATAATATAAAATTTGAAAAGATTTTCTTTATTAGTTAACAGGGTTAGAAGGTTTACAAAAAGATTCCTCCCAAAAATCTACATGAATATCTAAAATAATCTTGGTCCAGTGACAGAAAATCACATTTCTAGGGGGGTGTAACAATATAAATAAAACTACTATTTTGGCAAAGAAACAAACCTGCAGTTATTAAGCAGAGATGGTGAAAATTGTCAGAATAAAAAAAACATAACGGATTTGATAATTAGAGGATAAATTCTGGTAAAAGGGATTTTGTCTTTGATATTTGTAAATAAATTGAATAAGTGCACTAGCCAGAGTATTCTCTCTGATCTACCGCAAAGTAAAGCATTCTGGGATATATCAATTAGCATGCTGGGTAAGGAGCTTCAGTTTGTGACTTCCCACTGCAATTTACACTGCTAGAACTGGATGTGAGTGATTCTGTATTTTTCAGATGTTCCGGTCTATGTATTTGCAAACAGTTACAACCAACTAAATAGTAAATAAGTTGCTATTGCATGACATGTGACATGTCATGATTCCCTTTTATTCCAGAAGTTTGGTCCTTAAGGGGTTAATTGCTTTCCATTAGCAGAATATCATGACTATGGATTAGTTCTGCAGTGTTAACGGAATTTTCTTCATTCAAGGTACCATTTCATTATCATTATCGGTTAGCCATTATAAAATAGTTTTTCCCAAAAAAAATTCAGAAATTGATGTTTTTTTTAAAAAACAGATATTTCTATAATTATCAGAACTTGTGTACCAAGTCTTAGCAATTAGGCCAGTCAGGTAGATAAAACTAACACACATGTATGTTACTGCATTACAGAATACCTATGTATCACCACCCCTAGGATTAAGACAATGGGGAAATCAAGGATTTACTAAGCTCTGTCATACAACATTTAGCAAACCGAGGCTTGGCAGCAACGGTTACACCATAATATCACATTTAAATACACAATGGAGTGTTGCAAGTTGGGATACATTTCAGTAACAGTAGGAAACATGCCTTTCCTCAATGTAACAATGTAACCTGCTGTACACGGTGCTTTAAAAGTAAAATAGATTTCATCCATGGGACTTACCTCTTTAAATTGATAGTAAAAATAGAGAGTATTTATGCAGAAGCACACCCTCCCTATTAAATAAATAGAAAAATCAGTGCTATGCTCACAGTAAGTTTGCAAAGTATAATTCTTCTCACTCTACATTTGTTTTTTCCAGATGTACTCTGTTTTGAAGTTATGGTGGAACATATGTAGTAGCAATTTAATGATTTGGGCCATCTTCCTAGAGGCTCTGTAAGGCTCAGACTGAACTTCCAGTGTTTATGCCCTATTTTTTTTCCCCTTTCCCCAAATTACTATACGTAACTTAAAGCAGCACTGTCGCTTTTGGGGTGACAGGATGACATGTCCAGTTGTGCAGAGGTGGCACAAGGGGGATGCAGAGACAGTCATATATTTACCTTAAGCGGTATCTCCCCTGCACCACCATCAGTCTTCAGCTTGTGGCAAGTTCATCTGCCTGAAGCTGTCATCGTCATGCCATTGTGGATGTGTGAGAGAACAAAACAGAGTCTAAGGAGGATCCTGCGAGATTGCTCATGTGCAATGAGGTTCCATAGACATCAATTGCGCATCACACAAGATTATGCCTGTTCCCATTATGCATCACTACCAACAAGAGAAAATGGCAGTAGAAACACTGCCCTTTGCCAAAGGTTGACAATTACACGAGTCAAAAGTTGTCCCTATATTGTCCTAGGTTTACCTTTTGACTGTGCCGCTTTTACGGTTTGTAACCTCAGCCATCAAATGTTACACAGCGAGAGTAACCCATTCACTACCAGGAAGAAATGCCCATTGTATTAATTAGTACCTACAGTTACACAGCTTAATCTTGAAAAAGTCTGGCACACTGGGTAACCACAAATATATTCTATAAATAATATATGCATGTAGAGACAGTCTCTCTCTCTCTCCTGCATTGACATTGGCAGTAAGCTCGTTATTAGACAGAAAATATCAGTGCTAGTAGATTTCCTGGCGTCATTAATGATTTTGAATATAATAGCACAAGAATGTATTAAAGACGGAAGAAAAGAAAATGAAATTCCAAATTGCCACTTCCATGTTAGAAAATGATTTTAGGACATAATAATTACTGCTATAATATAGAATAGTATAAAATCTCCATACAATCTCATATAGCCAATCAGCTTATAAAAATGATACTATATTACCATTGTATAGTAAAATAAACATCATCAGTGCAAATAACTACCATTAATCTGCAACAACTAGTATTTACATTGGTCAAGAAATCTCTTCACATTAGTTAGTTTTCAGCAGTTGTGAGGATCAAATTGTCTTTGTGACACTACAAATTATTCTTTTTCGACATTATTCAGATTTAATGCTGGTTAAAGAATTCCTAGACAATTGCTTTCCTCTAGGGCTGCCCCCTTCACTCCCCAGACATGGCTGTCAGACATGGTCAGTCCTGCTTGTCTCTTTCCTGCCTCCAGGGGTAAATAAGTTCCCCGATGAACAGCTTCTTGCACAATGAACCCCAGGAATCTTTGGGGTAGAATTTACCGGCTGGAATCTTGTATTGCTGCAGTACATTTCCATATGGCAAAGGGTTGATCTGCAGGAGCACAATTAATAATTTTTCACTTTATTAATGATTTCAAGCAAGCACGGTCACTGTTATCAAAACATTACAATGGCTCGTAGAAGATTTAAGTAGTACTAGATATATATGGAAATGGAATAATAACTATTATAGACTGGACAGATTAAAACTCGGAGTTACATTTTTACCTGCATCAAGAGTCTTAGACTTTTCCCTTCTTCTTGTAGCAGCATTCGGAATTTAACCCCAGCTGAAAGTGGTAACATCACATTGTTAGTGCTTTGCCGACATGTTCAATATGAACGCTTATCAATATAATCTCCCATGCACAAGAATCTGGTGTACATGATTTCAACAATGCAAGAAACATTTATTCACTGCAAATGAATTCTGCAAATTTGTATATCTCTATAAGTTGGGCACTCGGTCGCTGCATCGGGCAGCAGAGAGATCAAAAGATTTCCAGAATAGGCCCTGCACCCGTTCAGTATAAGGAGAAACAATGTGTTATCTATGTGTACAAAAAAAACACACTCCTTTCCATAAAACAAAACCTGCTTTTTAGTGGGGTTTTATTTGGCAAATCGCTTGGCAGTGAGGGGTCTAATATGCAATTATGGAAAACAAGATCCCCCCAGCTGGGGCGAGATAGCGTTACATGTTCGGAGTTACTCACCTGCCAATCTGTAGGATCTGCAGAGTCGCAATACAAGGGCATAGAGAGGGAGCGAGTTCAGCAGATTAATGATCATCTGGATAACACCTTGAACTAGGACCACAAGTAGCCGTAACTGTTAAAAGGAAAAAAGTGAGATCCTCCTTCTATGTCGAATTCCTCACAAGATTTCTCTATTCTCAACGTAACGGTCTGATCTATTCAGGAACTGTATGTTTGTATCTAACATCTTCAAATAAATGATTAATATATTTTACTGTACTATAGATCTGTTTAGAACAATTGGCTGTATTATGTATAGTCAACACAGATCGCATTCTTCACCATGACTTTTAAAACGTTTAGGCCACAAGAGGCAAATTGGAAAAAGAAAGAAGTCAGCTATGTTTTCAATTCTAGGGTAGAATTTACTTTGCTTCCCTGACCATTTACACGTTAGTGAATTACCCTGACATGACAATAGTTATATAGTTATTCTATTGCGCCAGTCCAGAAGAAAACCTGTATCATTTGCATATCAGAATGATCCCGCCCACAAGGGCCAACTAGAACCAAAATGCCAACAGGTCCTCTCTGCACAAGATAGGTCAAAACAAAATCAGATCAGCTGGATTGGCCTATCACAGGCCTCATCTGTAAGGCAGCTAATACCACTTTAGGCACAGCTTACAGTCACACTACTTCTATAATGTATATTCAGGAATTTTAGGATCTGCATCAGTCCCTACTTAAGATATTAACTGTTAAAAGAATTGATTGGCTCATTGCAGTACTTTCTACACAGCACCAAGTCAAAGGACAACTAAATATTAAAAGGACACTGTAGGCACCGAGACCACTGAAGTGGTCTGGGTGACAACTCCTATCACCCTTAACCCTGCAAGTGTAATTATTGCAGTTTTTATAAACTGCAATATTTACCTTGCAGGGTTAAGTCCTCCTCTAGTGGCTGTCTACTGTCAACTTCCGGGTTCTTAGACCACTTTTGGACGTCTAAACGACGCTGGACATTCTCACGCTATGCATGAGGACCTCCAGCGTTGCCTAAATCCCCATAGCAAAGCAATGAATAATTATTTTTCTATGGGGAGGTCTAATGCGCGCGAGCGGCCATTGCCACGCATGCACATTAGGTCTCCCTTGCCGGCGGGGGAGGAACGTGGGCGGAAACTGACCCAGTGCTGGATTCAGGTAAGTGACAAAAGGGATTTTAACCCCTTCAGTGACTTGGGATGGGGGGCACTCCAGGATTCTACAGTGCCAGGAAACTGGTTTGTTTTCCTGGCACTGGAGAATCCCTTTAAATGAAATGTGCAGTACAATGTATCAGGCTTTAGAAGACTTGGTAAATATTTGACCCTAGGATTTTGAATGTAATCAGCTGCCAGCACTATGTATCTGATTTGTTTCAATTTAATCCAAACGTAAATTTGAAATGTTTACATATCAATTGGTTCAGTATAATGTAATTCTCTGGGTAGAATTCATGTCCTATAACATGCACGTGGCCACAGAATTGAGGTCTTGAACCTGCCGGTCTACGTACCAGGGTGAATACCAGGTAATACAGGGCAGTAGTTGGAAGCAGAAAGAGAAGGATTGTGAACAGCAATGTCCCAAGAAACAGCTGTTTAAAACATAAAAACAATCGGTTACAAACACAAGCACAAACAAACACACACAACATTCCTAACATTGATCACCAACGAGAAGCCATAACCTGCTGGAAATGTTCTAATTCAGATACTGCACTTATAAAGTCTCAGCACTGGGAAAACTGAATGGGGGGAATTAATACAATTTAGTTGGAATCAAACTAATACAGTAGATTTGAAAAGCCAGGATTGATGAGACACCAGATACGTATATGGGTACAAAAAGAATTAGAAATGGAATCGTGTTAGCAAAATGTGTCTACGCAGATGTTTTTCTCTTGCAGACTGTTGGATATGTGTACTGTAAAACCTCTCGACATTGTCTGTTTTCCTGATGTTCTGGTTTTAGTCCCCAGCCCTGGCTATGCACCAACATAATGTACATTTTGCACATGTGATGGTGGATGTGGGAATGCATTCAGACTAGATGGGCAGACTAGATGGGCCGAATGGTTCTTATCTGCCGTCACATTCTATGTTTCTATGTTTCTATTCACTGCGTATGATAGCCCCCCTGCTACAAACTATGACCAGGGATCCTGTGAGGCTGTAAAAATAGACTTCAGGATACAAGTTAACACTGAACGTAATTATAAAGAAGTATATCCGGTTTGTGGTTTTGTCTCTTACACTTGCCTCTACGAATGAAAATTACTACCTGCTTTTAACATACAAGGGCAATGGAAGCGAATATACCTGATCCAGATCGTAAGAACAGGAGTCCACCCTTTGACGCAGGACATTCCACTTCTTGCCTCGGAAGAGACGCCAAAGTGAGGCAAGTCCGTGAACCTTTAGGCAATACAGACTGAAACGGGAAATGGGACATCATGCATTCAGCAAGGTACACTTCTTGGAGATATCATTTTTCATGTGAATGTGCAATGATTGAGGTGGGCAACCACTGATGCACAAACAGAGAAAACACATTTATTTGGCTCCTATTTATATAATATCAGCAATCAGTCATAATCCTGGGCTGCTGCAAAATAGGTTTACCTTTTGCAGAGTTATTACTGTGTAGCTCATAACCACTTGCTCTATTTTGGAATGTACAGAGTGCAAGGGTTTGGAAGGCTCCAATTTAGGAATACCATAAGGATAACCTGTAATTGGCTACACTGAAATCCTCCAATAACACAGTGCCATATACACCAGAGTAAGCTAGAAGAGAATACAGGGAATTGTGGATGCTAGACCTTTAACCCCTTAGTGACAAGATGGTTTTTCCATTTTTTTTACCGTGAAGGACCATGGCTGAAATTTTGTTTTTTTTTAAAAAAAAACAAACCTCTTCTAACTTTGACCCCCAAAATCTGTTATGCATCTACAACCGCCAAGAAACACCTGTCTTAAATAGTTTCTCAATTTTGTCCTGAGTTTAGAAATACCCAATGTTAACATGTTCTTTTTTTGCAAGTTATAGAGCTATAAGTACAAGTAGGACATTGCTGTTTCAAAATATATATTTTTAAAATTTATCAATAGTGACACTGTAACACTGTTATCTGTCATAAATCTCTGAATCACACCTCACATGTACATATTTTTTTAAAGTAGACAACCCAGGGCATGTCCAGTCTTTTTTAGTAGCCACTTAGTCACAAACACTGGCAAAAGTTAGCATTTATATTTATTCATTTGTTTGTGTGTTAAAAATGCAAAAAATAATTATAAACACTAACTTTGGCCAGTGTTTGTGGCTACTAAAAAAAAAAAAAGACCAAACATACCCCATTTGCAATACCTTGGGTTGTCTTATTTTGCAAAAGGTATGCCATCATGGGGGTAATTCTCATTCCTGAGATACCATGCGGTCTCAAAGGCAACGTAACCAATCTGGCGAATTTCAATGTGAAAAAACAGAAAATCAAGCCTTATATTTCACCCTGTAACTTTTCAAAAACACTATAAAACCGGTTTGTGTGTGAAAAATGCAAAAAACTTCACTTTCACTGACAATATCATCGCGGTGATATGTTTTGCTGTTTTAAAACCACTAATATTTGTGTTCAGCAAAGTCTACCGAGTAAAACAGTACCCCTCCATGTACAGGTTTTAGGGTGTCTTGGAAAGTTACAAGGTTAAATATAGTGCTAGCAAATTAAATTCTCTGCACTTTTGGCCTCGGTTGTCAGGCAGGTCCCCCAAATTGCAATCAATCAATAAAATTACTTAATTATGTAAAAATATTACATAAGTATGCACATAGAATTTATTTATAATATATATATATCATCTAAGTCACAACAATAGACAATCACAGTCTGCTTAAACTAATAACACACAAAGAATGAAATGTTGCCATGTTTTTATTGAACACACCATGTAAACATTCACAGTGCAGGTGGAAAAGGTATGTGAACCCCTAGACTAATGACATCTCCAAGAGCTAATTGGAGTGAGATGTCAGCCAAATGGAGTCCAATCAATGAGATGAAATTGGAGGTGTTGGTTACAACTGCCCTGCCCTATAAAAAAAAAACACACCAGTTCTGGGTTTGCTTTTCACAAGAAGCATTGCCTGATGTGAATGATGCCTCGCACAAAAGTGCTCTCAGAAGACCTACGATTAAGAATTGTTGACTTGCATAAAGCTGGAAAGGGTTATAAAAGTATCTCCAAAAGCCTTGCTGGTCATCAGGCCACGGTAATACAAATTGTCTATAAATGGAGAAGGTTCAGCACTGCTGCTACTCTCCCTAGAAGTGGCCGTCCTGTAAAGATGACTGCAAGAGCACAGCGCAGACTGCTCAATGAGGTGAAGAAGAATTCTAGTGTCAGCTAAAGACTTACAAAAGTCACTGGCAAATGCTAACATCCCTGTTAGCGAATCTACAATACGTAAAACACTAACAAGAATGGATTTCATGGGAGGATACCACAGAGGAAGCCACTGCTGTCCAAACAAAACATTGCTGCACGTTTACAGTTTGCACAAGAGCACCTGGATGTTCCACAGCAGTCCTGGCATAATATTCTGTGGACAGATGAAACCAAAGTTGAGTTGTTTGGAAGAAACACAGAACACTATGTGTGGTGAAAAAAAGGCACAGCACACCAACAGCAAAACCTCATCCCAACTGTGAAGTATAGTGGTGGGGGCATCATGGTTTGGGGCTGCTTTGCTGCGTCAGGGCCTGGACGGATTGCTATCATCGAAGGAAAACTTAATTCCCAAGTTTATCAAGACATTTTGCAGGAGAACTTAAGGCCATCTGTCTACCAGCTGAAGCTCAACAGAAGATGGGTGTTGCAACAGGACAATGACCCAAAGCATAGAAGTAAATCAACAACAGAACGGCTCAAACAGAAGAAAAAAACGCCTTCTGAAGTGGCCCAGAGAGAGTCCTGACCTCAACCCAATTGAGATGCTGTGGCATGACCTCAAGAAAGCAATTCACACCAGACATCCCAAGAATATTGCGGAACTGAAACAGTTCTGTAAAGAGGAATGGTCAAGAATTACTCCTGACCGTTGGGCACGTCTGATCTGCAACTACAGGAAACGTTTGGTGGAAGTTATTGCTGCCAAAGGAGGTTCAACCAGTTATTAAATCCAAGGGGTCACATAATTTTTCCACCTGCACTGTGAATGTTTACATGGTGTGTTCAATAAAAACATGGCAACATTTCATTCTTTGTGTGTTATTAGTTTAAGCAGACTGTGATTGTCTATTGTTGTGACTTAGATGATGATCAGATCACATTTTATGACCAATTTGTGCAGAAATCCATATCATTCCAAAGGGTTCACATACTTTTTCTTGCAACTGTATATGTGTATATATATATATATATATATATATATATATATGTATATACACATATATATATATATACACATACACACACACACACACATACATACACACACACGTGCGTGTGTAATTTTACTCTTAGTGTATTTTTATATTAATATATGTATATATTAATAAAAAAAAAATACACTTAGTATGACATTATATAAGAGATATATATATATATATATATATATATATATATATCTCTATCTCAACAAAATAGATGCTTGGCACTCTCCTTTTAGTGATAAATAGAGACTTAATGCCTGGGTGCTATATCCTATGCACCAGAAATATACAATAATCCAAAATCAGGATGCACTCACAGTTGAAGTGAAAAAAAGTACATTTTAATTATTCCATGTGAAATGTACAAAAAATTTTTTTAAAAAAAATCAATCGACGCTTCGACCCTGGCGGGTCTTTTTCCTTGAACATTTTTTTTTTATTTTACAGATGCACAGAGACTGCCTGTCAGTTCAGGCAGTCCACCTGCAGGCAGCACTATGGACACCTATCGCGGCCATATGACCGCTCTTTCAAAGTGATCAAATGGCACGCAGGGGCCTTATTAGCCGATGGGGGACTGTCTGGGCTGTCAGACAGTCCCCCCCAACAGGGAGGAACACCGATCGCAGGCGATCGGGTAAGTAAGAGGGACTGCGAGGACGTACTCGGTACATCTGCAGTCCTTAAGAACCGTTTTTGTCGGATGTACCTAGTACGTCCTCGGTCTGGAAGGGGTTAATAAAACATATTTGTGAATACTAGGCTAGGAGAACCCAACATACAGTCATATTAAGCAGTTACTGGGAACTAGTAATTAAAGACATACATACAGCTATTTATTGGGAATGTAGTATGCACAATCTTGAAACAGGCAATATATTTCGCTCATAGTTTAAAGGAACACTATATAGTCAGCAAACCAACTTTAGACCAAGTAATCAGTTTTGGTATATAGATCATTCCCCTGCAGTCTCACTGCTAAATTCTCTGACATTTAGGAGTTAAATCACTTTGTTTATGCAGCCCTTGTCACACCTCCCTGCATGTGACTTACACAGCCTTCCCAAACACTTCCTGTAAAGAGTCATCTAATGCTTACCACTTCCTATATTGCAAATTCTGTGTTATTTAGAAATTCGTATCTTCTGCTCTGTTAATAGCTTGCGTGACCATGCAGGAGCCTTCCGTATGTAATTTTATTGTATGTATGTTCTCATGCAGCCTTTGTCAGTAACAGCCAGGGGAAGTGTGGCAAGGGCCGTATAAATAAATATACAATAAAACCTACCTTCCCTTGCACCCCACGGAGATGTCACCATCAGGGGTCTTTGCAAAATAGGTTGCAGAGCAACTTTAATCTCACAAAGAATTAAAGTTTACGTTTAGCATAAAAGCTTGCATATCTCTGTAAAACAGTGACATCTAGTGGTTACATAGAGAACAACAGTAGTGAGCACTAATCCAGCCATTCTTCCTAGTGTGGATTACTGAAATTGGCTGAAAGTGTGCTCCTTTCATTAGCATTCTTAGCAAATTAATGTCTAAACAGTAATAGGAATAAGTAGTTCAGCTATGTATATGTGGAATGCCACCTGTAAAACAGATATGCAGGTAGCAGACAAGATTACTCCACAATTCAGCTCTTTGACAGCAATGGGCACTCACCGTGCTCCGTATACATAGAAGCAGTATATATGAAATGTGAGAAGGGCTATAATATCAGACAGGATTGACAGAGCCACGGACAGCCCAAGACAAGCAGAAAGTCCAATGTACCACAGGATGACTTCAATGAAAGGAGACATGAGGCGAATGTAACCTGGACAAAATAAAACGAGTAGCGCATAATGAAAAGGTTAAATATAAAAGTCACTGCATGACTAGATAAAGTATACAATTACATTATTATTATTGTTATAAAATCTACCCATTGCATTATATCTCTATATTTATGTCTTCCTTATTTAACCTTTACCCCGGTCACGAACAGAGATGAACCCTCTACACTTGATTATTTAATTAAGAGTGGGAGATTTACCATCTGCTAAATTTCAAATACATGATGGGGTAGTGATAATATAGTTTGTGTGTTTGAGATCAGATTTAGAAGTTCTAATGTATTGTATTGTCAATGGTTTTACACTACCATAACATTTTAAAGATGGTAATATTCTTTTATTTTATTTTAATCTTCGGTTTCTTTCGTTTGTGGCTGATTTGTTACATTTTCTGACAACTTTGTTTCTAGGATTCCCCGAATTTTCTCTATAGTTAATTTCTTCGCAAATAAGGAAATACATGATGCCTACAACATATCAATTAACAAAAGAAAAATACCGGCATATTCTTTAAAGAGCCGCGCGCATTCAGCCAGTCCAAAGCATTCAGCCAGTCCATAGGAAAGCATTCTTAATGCTTTCCTATGGACGCTGGCGTCTTCTCACTGTGAAAATCACAGTGAGAAGCGCGGAAGTGCCTCTAGCGGCTGTCAATGAGACAGCCACTAGAGGCTGGATTAACCCATAGGTAAACATAGCAGTTTCTCTGAAACTGCTATGTTTACAGCAGAAAGGGTTAATCCTAGATAGACCTGGCACCCAGGCCACTTCATTAAGCTGAAGTGGTCTGGGTGCCTATAGTGGTCCTTTAATATTTAAGCCAAGTCCCTACCTAAATAATCTGTATATTCATAGTTTCACCTTTGTAAAACTGTATTTAAATATGTATTGCCCAGTGCATCTGCTAGATACAAATGTAAACATGTAAATGAAGAGGTGTAATGAGTTATGTTGTATCTGTGTGCCTAGGTTTAGTGAATCCTCTCTCAGGAAACCAAAACAACTTTAGCCTTTTGAAGCAATTTTGGTGTATACATCATGCCCCTGAAGTCTCTCCGCTCAATGTTCTGCCATTTAAGAATTAAATCACTTGTTTTTGTTTATGCAGCCCTAGCCACACCTCCCCATGCTGTGACACACACAGCCTTCATGAGAAAAAAAAAAGTCAGATCTTACAGCACAGTGTGTTTACTAGAAATTCTTATCTCCTCCTTATCTCTATAAATTGAGCTTTAATCACACACAGGAGACTGTTGCAGGCTCTAGCAGTCAATTAACAGAGCAGGAGGAGAGAAGACATTCTAAAGTAAACACAACGCAATAAGGAAAGCTAAAATACTTGGACTCCCTTTCAGGAAGTGAGAGTCACAAGTAGGGGAGGTGTGGCTAGGGCTGCATAAACAAAGTGACTTACATTACATTAGTGAATAACCTTGTAAGTATCTGACCAATCTGCATTAAAATCAAGGGACTACATTTACCTGGTGACTACCTATAAGTGACTTTCTGCAGTATAGTTTACATATATATTTATTACATATAGTAATAGAAGCAGGTGTCATTCCTGTCTCTCTTCCCTTCAATACACATGACTCTTTACCTTACTTCTTATTGATCGTAAGGTTGTGTGAACAGAACCCACTTCACTTTTAGTTTGTGTTTACTGGTTTGTTGTTTTTAGATCCCTACTGCAAAGCATTGTGAATTTTTTTTCAAGATCTATAAATGAAAATCTTCTCCCTATCGACATTTTACAAGTGTGGATCGGCCTGCTTATTTTTCATCCCTTTTGTTCATGACTGAATAAGGCATTCCATTTTGGAATAGGTTTCTTAGAAGTGAGATTGTCATGGATTTATAAACCATCACCGGTACTCAAGGGGTTAACTATTTAGCAAACAGGAAGATACTGCAGCTTACTGATCCAAAGATGGATGTGGTACATGAAAAAGCGACCCAATACTTCATCCAGAGCTCGGTTCATCTTCAAACCAGCCGGGGCTCCCATAAGCCATTGCAGCAGTCCCTGCAGTTCCAGTGCTACATGCTGCAAATATTGGGAAAGGTAAAGAAAATTAGATTAACAGGAAAATAGTGAAAATATGCCAGATTAATATACAGCTTATCAGCAGAGTTAAATGGAAATTTTCATATGGAAAAAAATGTGGCTTTAAATTATTGAATTCAGGGGTACTTTTGGGGTTGCTCGTTTTTTTTGAAAGGCCTGTATTTCCGCATACAATGTCATGGAGCCTACCCCTCCCCATAAACAAATAGTCACAACTTAAATATGTGAAATGCTGCTCCCTAAATAGTCAGCAAGGCTGGGCTGAACACATGGTATTTATTATCAGAGACTAGGAGTATAGGTGACTAGACAGAAAACTGGACAATTTGCAAGATGATTTTTTAGAAATGGGAAAATTGGAGGCCATTGTATAAGAGACACAATTCCATCTATGGATGTGGAGTGACCTCTCTACCCCATGCACGGTTATGGTCTCATTTTTTTACCCATTTGCAAATTGTTTCTATGGTGTAATTGCTTTCCACCAACCAAATGGGACCATTTCCCATATATAATGCATCTAAAAGACTCTCTATGGTACTATAGATCAATATCTTCGTAACTGTTTGTAAAATTCAATAAAATGTCATGGGGGTGAGAGGACTGAGAACTCACATCTGCAACAGGTATGAGTGCATCGGCCAGCTGACCAATGTGGTTCCCCCTGTACAGCCAGGACATCAGCACGACCCCTAGGACAACATCGAGCAGTAGTGATACAAAGGTGTTGGCTTTCCTGTGGATTAATGAGCAGACGCCTTACAATAATCGGCAAACAGCGAAGTGAGGACTAGGACTACAAAGAATGGAGGCAAAGGGGACAAATAATTGTTGTGTGAATGAATGGATTAAAGGGGCAGAGCAGTTAGAAGTGTTTAAAGAGGAAGGTGTGAAGGCTGAGCGACAGAGGTTGACATGTGAGTGTATTGTAAAGCTGTTGAGAGGTACATGTGAAATCTCACAGATGGTCAACCTTCCCTTCAAAAACATGAATACATTTATAGTGATGTAAATCAAAGGAAATTAGATAAAGAAAGAGGAGGAAAATGATGGATCTCCTCAATCAACTTTAGTTTTACAAACTACAGGCAGACATTAAAGGCAAACTAATAAAGTGTACAAACTGGTTTTAATATGTAATGCCCCCTGTGTCTGTTAAACACAAATGTAAAGGATATTGCACAACAGAATCAAAAATTAGACGTGTGCTTATGTTAATGTGTGTACTAAATAAGAAATTCACGTTTTGGACTCGCTAGTCCTTTAGCGAAGACAAAAGGATTAATTCGCCAACACAGAATTATAGTGACTTGAAAGTTACAAAGTTTAGACTAAGACTAGCACTTAACTATAGTCAAGGTGGTTTATTCAAGAAATAGCAAACAATAGTGAATTGGAAGCAAAACTAACTAATAAACTGTAGCCTTAAAAGCGTTAAGATTTGTATTTTGTGTGTTTGTGAACTAATTTTTGAGTACTTTGTACATTTTGGAATTATTTAAACAACTTCATTATAAAGTAATGCATGCTGTAGGTAGCATTTCCCATTTGTGGTTTCTTGTGTTTAATGACTGGGATCATCACCTGAAAGACGATCGTCTGACCAATAGGCACTAACAGCATGGATCTGGACGGATCTTACAGACTGTCCATGCTGTGATATACTCCATCGGTATCTTCACAGAATTAACAGCTATATCAGAAACCCTGTGCAGCAGTTCAGTGGACTAGGGTATGCACGACCTGGGTTATGTACCCATAAATAGCAGGGAATGTTGGTTGTCAGAAATTGTGTGTGTTAAAAAAGTGATTAATGCAATGCCAACAAGTGTACATTGTGTATATCTCAGAGCAGACATAAATAAAGGGTGGAACGACATGAGACCTCATGAAAAGATTGTGGTCCTGTGCCGTCTTAGAGCTGCTGATCAGTCGAAGGCTGTCTAGTCGTTTCCCCAACTGCTCACAAACTGACAGTTTATTCCATAGGAAGGAGAGAGGCTTCCCCCCTAAAACCCTGAAACAGTGGAGGTCGATATGGTTAGCAGTTGTACTACATAGAAAAAAAGAAATAAAGGAAGGAGTCTTTTGTTCTAACGGAGAGAAAAAAAAACACAGACCTTTAGTCTGCCACTTGTATGGCAGAATTGCTGTGAGTATTAAAAAGGCACAGCTTTACACTTTCACAAAAGAAGAATCACACACACACACAAAAAAAAAAAGTTAAACATGTACAATGTTATATATAGAAAACACAAAGGCAACTAGGAGAATATAAAGGAACTTAGTGTGAAGCAATTCCCAGGCTTTGAAACTAGGAGTGTTCCAGAGAGAGACAGCACAAAACACATTAGGAGGGTTATTCACTAAACCCTGCACTTTAATACTATAGGGTCCCCTTCAATATGAACATTAATAGGGAGAAAGTCTCTATTTAAAGAGAATGCTGTACTAGATTCGGTACAGATTTTTAGCAACATCTGGATGCTTCTCTGGAAAAGCAGAATATTCAAGAATATAATAACTTATGTGTGGGGTAACAGCTCGTTCATCTAAGGAGAAATCTCACTCCCATTTTCAATTCAAAAGGGAAGTTTTTCCAGTTTTGTGGTTTTTTTTTAGCCTATATTATAATGTATTTATGTTTAATCTATAACCCTGCGTGTATGTGTCCCTATCTGACCAGTACTTTGTATTGTGTCTTTTTCTGAAGCACTTTAGCTTAGCTTCACAAACTGAGAATTGGCCAGTAACTAGTCTATTATCTTCAAAATTTCTCCCAGCTTGATATATTCTCCCTTTTAAAACGCACTAAAATATTTTTACAAGAACTACTTTTTTTCCTGCATGTAATACAAGCAGAATCTTACTCCTTACCGGGTGACGTAGGTGATCAATGAAAGGAGAAATGATAAGAAAGCACACGCAGGCACGGATGCTTGCTTGCACAGCTCAACAATAATACTGGCTTCCACCCCCTCGGACTGCCAGTGTGTTAATTTTACTGGCCCTTCGTCATACTTGTCCCGGGCAAACAGCGTCCGATTCCGTGCAACAGTGTCAAACACAGTGGTAATCTCAGAATGCTCAGCTACATTGTGCAGCTCTGACAGCATTAGTTTACGCTGATCGTAGTACACAAGAACCATCTCTACGTCTGCCCCATCACCCTGTCCCTCAATCCTGCAGTCCCAGAATTTGCTTGATGCCTCTCTGGCCATCCTTAACCAGGGCCGATGTGCGAATATGCTGCTAAGGTCTCCAAGAAAGTTCTCCATCTGCTCATTCTTCTCTGCTTTGCTGTTGCTCCACGTTCCCAGAACTGAAAGGCTCTGGCCTGTCACTTGCTCCAGATGACCCAGATACCTTTTCACATTGCCAGGGATGAATGGAAAGTGAAGGATCGCCAGGACAACTGCAGACTGATGTTCTTCCATCCAGCGTCCAATAAGAAGTCCATTTTCTGCTGCCGAACAGCAGGTGGGAAAGAATATCTTAACAGCCATGGTTACTGTAAGTAAATGTAGAGTTAAAGAATCGTCTCCGTTCTGATTAAAGATATATTTTCTACATTGTATATTATTTGATCTTTCTCACGGTTTCATATCAGTTTATTTAAAGAGACAGTAATGATTTTGCATAAGTTGATCTTTCTTTAAAGCAAGATAGTGTTGCTGTTATTATTACTACTTAAATTATGCACTTAATAATTTTGTGTGCTTTTTCCTGTAAAATCTAGTTATATTTAGGCATTACTGACTATTTAGGCCAGGCTTCCCCAAACTCTGCCCCTCCAGATGTTGTTGAAATACAACTCCCATGATTCCCAGCCTATTTCATTCATAGAATCATGGGAGTTGTAGTTCAGCAACATCTGGAGGGCCAGAGTTTGGGGAAGCCTGATTTAGGCCAATCCAAAAGGACTCAAAATTGCAAGTTTTAGGACTGGTAATGTACGCAAGTAAATAAATGGGAAACAAAACACAGAATAGAGCCTTCTCTGTTTTAGGACTGACCTCCGAAAGGGCTCCACTTAGTCCTTTGTATTTGTAAGAGACACTGTAAAAGCCCTCCCTCACATGAGCAGAAGAGGCTCAGAATACTATGGACAAATTTTTAGTAAAAAGAAAGTTGTGAGGGGAGCTCTGAACACACACTAGAACAAGGTTAGGCTATCTACGGCACTCCAGATGTTATGAACTAAGTCTCCAATAATACTCTTACCGCCACAATGCAACATCTGGAGTGCCAAAGTTGCCTACCCTTATACTAGAACATATTTTTGGTTGCAAAAAAAGTCTTCAAAATCCTATCATTTTATCCAAGCAAGTGTACTTATTTAAAACTATATGTTGAAAAATGCATATTTTCATGTATGTAATTAATCATTGTAAAAAAGATAAAAATACATGCATTTACTAAAATTTCCACAAGCATATTTCTTATGCCCTAAAATGTACCTTTCATTAGCTGCCTTCTGTAGATAATGGAGACAGCCCTTTTCTGCCCAGCACTTACTTTTCAGTACTGGCAAATATCTAATTAAGTGCTTGTTTGTTTGTTTGTTTGTTTGTTACTTATTAGTTTGAGTGCTGTTTTATGTATGTGTCCATTGAAATATTGATTTGCTATATTGGACTAAAACACTAACGCTCAGCCAGCCACAGAATGAGGTTAATTTGAGTTATAGTTTACAAAAGCTATTTAGCAAACAGTTGCCTCATCAAGTCATTAGATGAGGTGTATATTTTTACTCTCATGAGAAGTACAGCATGCGTTACATGTAGATAGACATCCAGGGACTGGCTGCAGGTACATTATCTGACAATTTAAAAGGAACAATACCACTAAATAACAAATTTAGCTCATCAAAATTGTCATGGGAAGAGAAGTGTCTAGGCAGCATCTTACATTCAGTGGTCAAACCGATGTTGGTCCCATGGTGTTACACACATCTGTTTCTTCACCTCCTGATACTATTAGCCAACCCCCAGGAGTGAGGAGGTAGGGGCATCAAGTGTTGGGGGTAATTGTGGCAAAACAGTTTAACCCCTGAAGGCAAGACACCACAGCCCCCATAACAACTTCAAAAGAGCTGAAGTTGTTATGGTGGTGGGATTGTTCCTTTCAAATGAGCCTCTCTGATCTGTACTTCATCCAGGAAGATGGACAAGTGGCAAAGGAAAAATGTATTTACAATTACTGGTGGGCAGCCCATGAAAAGAGCTGCCCTGTGAATGAAATGGTCAAATGCTGCATTATGGGAATGTAAATGAGAAATCCCTAGGGATCCTGCAGCATATGAATTCTTCATACAGCAGCATGACAACATGAGCAAGTGATAATGTGTCCAGAAACACATGGTACAGCTGGCAGCCTTATTTATCATGGTGTGAATGAAACCATAACACACTATTCATCCCACATTCTTCCTATTAGGTGACTAACCCCCTAGAGGCCATCACAACTTACCTTCCTTGCAGTCAGGCTGTTACAGTGTCAGATCTGCCATGCTTATTAATAAAACTAGGTCACAGCCCCAGCACACTGACATTCAAAGCACTTCCGGTTTCCCCATGGCTGTTGCTGGGAGACGAGGTCCGGCACATTAAAGCGTCCGTGCGCCCTGATGTAGCTCACACATGGTTCCGCGATTAGAAGTATCCCCCCACCTATCAGTGCTCTCATAATAAAGTCACTTTTTATTCTGATGATTCTTATCCTTTTTGCCTTTAAGCACAAAATATGTAAGCCCCCTGTAACCTCGAGGGGGCCTAGGGAACTTGTGGTGTGTGCCCCCCACCCAACACCAAATATACATTACAGCCCCTATACCCCATGCAGACATATACTACACCCCTGGCAGACCCCCAAACCAACAGTGAGTGTCCCCTCAAACCAGGACTGTTTTTGCTGGTAGATATAAAACCAATAGTGTTCATCAATTATAATATGGAAACAGCTGATAGTTTTCTATTTTGCAGTAAACAGGTGCAGTGTTAGATTAAATTAACATTTACATTAATAATTCTAAATTACTGATATAAACTACAGTATGCGCAGTATTAGTTATTCTTTTAGCTCATCATATCTTATCTAACAAATATTGATCCAATATTGATAGTGATCTAATATTAATATTGATAATATAATAGCTGATCTAATATCTTATTTAACAAATATTTACTAAAATAGCTAGCTTTTTGTCCAACCCACCTGCCCAGCAAATAATTGTTTATACTGCTTCTTCTATGGTAGATCTCACACAAACAACAATTGATCTAACCTGATCTAACAAAGACCTAAATATCTTTTTTTTTTTTTTTATTATTGTGGGGGATCACCCGGCTGTGGTAACCTGTACTTCTAATGTGAGATTAAGTGGTCTGCATGTCTTTAGTGGTCCTTTAAAACATGTCAAATCAACGGCATATGCAAGTTTAGTCACTAAACCAGGACTAAATTGCTAAAAATAACTTGGAAAAATTTGCCAACTCCCCTATTCTCATACATTGCCTAGTTTATCCAGATTGGTGAATTTTAATTTTCAATTCATTATAATTCACTGTTTTGTTAGTGGAGATTTGAAAGGAATTGCACATTTCAGCCTAAATTCCTGAGCAGGAGTATTAGCTGACTTGGAAAATTTACAAAAAAAAACAAACTAACAAAAATCAGACATTCTGCCTGGTATGTTAAATAGAACCTGGATCCTAGATCCTTTCTGATTATTTTATATGTTACATTTATATGTTAGCAATGAATATGTAGATACTTACTGATAGAGAAGTGTACACGTTTTCTTGTATGTCACTTACAGCAGCAGGTCAGGGTTTCAGATAGGAAAACACACTCCCATGTGTTCTGCCGAGGCACACTGTGTGTTTAAAGATAGTCTTGATATCTCAACCTCCCAGCTCACCATGCAGTGACACTCTAATGGTGATTATGGTGACATTACTAGACTTCAATGTCTGTTTTCTACTGCTTTGAAGATGTGAATGTAGGCCAAAAAAATAAATTAGAAAAACACCTCCCCTGTTTTTGCACAGGTTTTCCTTTTAAATCAATCATTTTCTGGTGCTCTATTGTTCTTTGTTTTTATCGTTATGAATTTGCACTATGCTTATTTCAAGGCAGCGTGCAAGTTAGACACACTTTAAAGAAATACTCCAAGCACCATAAGAGCACTGTAGTGGTTATGGTACAAGCAGCACCCTGGTGTCATCTGAAATTAGTCAGAACTTTTTACTTTTGCCCTGGGGTCCACCGAATCCCTCTGCCGGCCTGTAGTACGTCTATAAGAGAGCGCAAAACGTCTAAGAAGGAGCTTCTGTTTGCTCACCTGAGCTACGCTCTGCAGTGCAGGATCAGTTTATTGGCTGAGAGCATCGTAATCACTCCTGGCCAATAAACTAGGCCCTGCACCGCCAGGCTAGGTCATACACAAAGTTTACAGCTCTATGTCTGAGTAGTGGAGGCGGAGAGCAGAGCCCAGCAAACCCCAGTTACTTAGTCACACGCCAGCCAGGCAACTAATTGTGTAACATATAGTCCTCTGCTCCCCGTCTCTTATGTTGTGCACCATCATTAACCTCTTGGCAAGAGCACTCAGCAACGGCGAATGGTGGCTATTTAATGCAAAGCTGTATTTGGCCTGGTGTCAGAGGGTAGTAGAGGTTCTTTCACCAGCCCTGTCACCAGTGCTATCAGCTTTAGTGGACCAATTAGAGCAATTTTCTCACCAGGAGGAATGATGGCTCCTCTCTCTATGACTCATTATTCCTGGCAGTGATTGTGGCTCCTGTTCCTCCCTCCTCCCAGAAGTGTCACCTCCACCTGCCTCTTTTCACCTCCTCCCTAGCCTGGCTTCCTGATCCCTGCCGCACTGTCCTATCACTAGGCCACCCAGCTGTTAAGTAGCTCCAGTGCCACCTCCTATTCAGGGTTGATCCTGGGCGGGTGCTGGACCCTTTCCACATTAAACCTTCTGTTTGGAGCGGAGTATGGTTTTGTGATTGCCCTTGGTGTCAGTATGTACCCCACTGAGGAATTCTTTTGATTGGGTTAAATGTTGCCGGTTTAGCTCTATACAGCAAAGAAAATAGATGTTAACGACACTTTACTGCAGCTCTGGGCAGTCGGGCTTTTAGTAAATAGGGTTTTATATTTATACTCTAATTGGAATTATATTCTTCGTGTAGGGGAGATTGAATCATCAAAGAATCTTATAAAAAAGAGTTACTTTCAGCACCATCACTAATTTACATTAGTACAAAGGTCATGGGGCTTCAAGCACCCTAAGGCTACTCTTACAAATGTAGCAATTTGTAAAAAAATAACAGAATCATTAAGACAACCTCTCAGAGCTGTCAATCAGGATTGCTAGAATACTGACTTCTGCCCGCCCAGTGTCAATTAGGTCCAGGTTACTCTCCTTCCTATATAGAGAGTCAGGCTTAATTTTTTTAAATGTATATTTTTTAATACATTATATATCAGGTTCAAAATTTTACTTCTAGTAGCATAAGACTACAAATTTTAAGCCCTGATCTATATGATACATTAAAAAAAATAGAGGTTAATATTTATCTTACAGTTTCCCTCTAAGGATTATGATATCGATTACTCAATCTTTAATATAAGAATATGGAACATCACAAAGGTTAACACACGTTGTACGTGACTGTCAATGATTTATAATTTACGGACACATAATGATTCCTATTAATGCCAACAATATCAATAAAAACAGATAAAATTACAGAAGCAAAACGAAAAAAAAGTTGGCTAGGAAAGAGAGAATTAAAATAAAATTAATATCGCTGGGGAAACAGAACGAAGAGCTGGTTAGAAACAGAGAAAAATACCTGCTGGGAAGAAATACACAAATAGCACGATCTGCTTGGCGTGTGGGTAGAGGTGTAAAAGAGATAGAGACTCTCCATTGATGTAGAAAAACTATTTGCGGTCATTTTCAGTAAAATATTATTCCAGTTTATTGTTGTTACACACAGGTCCTGGAGTACAAGTCTTAACACAAACATTGTGTTCTACCTTAAAATTAATATGAATGAGAATATATAGAAATTAGCACAACCAGTAAAACTAATTACTGTGTATATGTATAAAGGAACACTATAGTCACCTAAATTACTTTAGCTAAATAAAGCAGTTTTAGTGTATAGATCATTCCCCTGCAATTTCACTGCTCAATTCACTGTCATTTAGGAGTTAAATCACTTTGTTTCTGTTTATGCAGCCCTAGCCACACCTCCCCTGGCTATGATTGACAGAGCCTGCATGAAAAAAAAAAACTGGTTTCACTTTCAAACAGATGTAATTTACCTTAAATAATTGTATCTCAATCTCTAAATTGAACTTTAATCACATACAGGAGGCTCTTGCAGGGTCTAGCAAGCTATTAACATAGCAGGGGATAAGAAAATCTTAATTAAACAGAACTTGCAATAAAGAAAGCCTAAATAGGGCTCTCTTTACAGGAAGTGTTTATGGAAGGCTGTGCAAGTCACATGCAGGGAGGTGTGACTAGAGTTCATAAACAAAGGGATTTAACTCCTAAATGGCAGAGGATTGAGCAGTGAGGCTGCAGGGGCATGTTCTATAAACCAAAACTGCTTCATTAAGCTAACGTTGCTCAGGTGACTATAGTGTCCCTATAAGACAGTATTCATGGGGCTTTCTGGATTACAAAAACTGCATATGATCTAAATATATTTATATGACCGGATGCAAAATACTCTTGTTGAAGGCCACTACATCTTAATGAAGAGGTCTGGGTGCAGTAGTCTTGTCAATGTAACTCCTCAAGGTAAAACATTGCCATTTTTCTAAAACGACAATAATTACCTTGAAGGGTTACACACCTCCATTGGCTGTTACGCTGTTTTACGTAAAAACTCAATCATGTGATACAGAAACATATGTTGAGCTCTCTGTGCATGCATATTAGGTATCCAAAGATCCTCTATAAGGAGTATCAGATTGGACCACACGGGAGGACACTATGCCTCATCAATGATGTTACAGGAAGTGGTGAGGTGAGCAGTGGAGAGGGAGTCAGGGTGCTGGAAAAAAGTGAGTAAATAGATGTATTTTATTATTTTTATTGAATACATGAGTGGGGGAGCTGAATCTAGGTAGGGACGGGAACAGCAAAGCATTTTGATCACAATCACTTTACGGTTCCTTTTTTTATGTATCAATCAGCTTCCTGGCAGCTGTTGTGGAGTCTCTCCAGTTCTCCTAGAGCTGGTAGGGTTATGACATGGCCTTACCTGTCACCTCTCCAGTACCCCTAGGGCTGGTGGGGTTATAATATGGCCTTACCCGATACCTATACATTTTGACACAGTTATCCCCAGAATCAGCAACATATAAAAAGCCAAAATGGGAGCATGCCACTCCTGCTGGTTTTGCAAGACCCTTTGATACCACACAAATAGGGGAGCCATTTGGAGGAAATAGGGTGACATTTTTTTTCTGCTCGTCAGCAACCAGAATATTACCCTCAGGGTCACAGCATATACCAGCTGGGTTTCCAAAAGTATGTTGGTAGGTTTTGGATAAAGAACCAGTTAGTTTAAAGTTGCTTGAGAATATTTTGACATCTCCACACTCCTCACTCACAGCAAACCCCCCATCTGGGGTGCTGCAGACACAGACTGGTCCTCGAAGGCCAGATACTTGTCGAACCCCCTGGACTCGAAAGGCACGATCCACGTGAAAACCTTGTACTGTGCCAGACCCATATTCAGCTACTAGGATGCGGCCAGTGGAGTCTAGAGAAATTCCTCTTGGAGACATAAATTTTCCACCCACCTTCACCCAAGATGGCTGAGAGTTAGGGTTGTAAATGCGTACTAAACCTTCAGCGAGATCTGTGGTAGCTACTGAGCAATGACGAGTCATAGTAATACAATCGGGAAGAAAAATGCCTTCATCAAAGCAATGGAGAACCTGGGCTGGTTTTCCATTAGAAGCTATCAAGTGAATATATGGACCATTAGCTCCACATACATAGAAGGAACTGTCTGAACACCAATGGACAGAACTGGAACCACCGCAGCTTGGAATCAGGATTTTTTGAGTGATCTCATCCTGACGAAAAAGTAACAGATTCCCCACATCCTCCAGGTCACGACAGAATTGGGAAGACTTTTCAGAGAGATTATGTATTTGTGAGGGTCCGAGGAGGCCAAGTCCATCTTGGGAGGATAGGAGAGGCACGGCTCTCTGTAAAGTGGTCTGAGATGCCACCTGAAGACTTCGCACTGCCCGGAGAAGGTTCTCCTTCTGACAACAACATACCAGAGACTGGTCCGTCATGCTGCTAAAAAATAAATAAATAAAACTAAATAAACAAAACAGAATAAGAGGATAATTATATGGTTTGTTGTGCAACAGCTGTGGCAGTATGGTCGGGCTCTTAGCAATAAACTCCAATTGCAAGCGTCATGGTAAAATACTAAGGCAGTTTATTTGGATTAACACCTTCCTCCCCTTTCAGTGCCATGGGAGTGGGACCCTGAGGGTGGGGGCACCCTCAGGACACTATAGTGCCAGGAAAACAAGTATGTTTTCCTGGCACTATAGTGGCCCTTTAACACTGATGTGTGAAGCGGCCTTCGCCAAAAGGTCATGCACCCTAGATAAAGCATCCGCATTAGCATGTAGTATGGCATAGTTGGAGGAGGGAATGTGACAGGATTAATGGGGATTAGTGTGACAGGGTGAGTATGGCAGAGTGTGACAGAATTAGGGAGGTTAATTTGACAGTGTGAGTGTGGCAGAGAGAGGGCCGGAAAGTTTGGAGGGGGAGATTAACAGGATTAGGAGTGGTTAATGTAAGTGTGGATTCATGAAGGGGCTGACAGTGTGGGAGTATGGTGACACCACATTGTGGGGGCTTGACAATGTGTGGGACAGGGGGGTGATTGTGTGTGGGAGGGCATAGTACTGTCTGAGGGAGGTGACACTAAATTCCTTTTCTCACTCCCTTGTGGTCGGTGGCCATGATATCCTGTTTGCAGCTCCGCTGTGTTCAGAGCTGCAGACCATGCGTCCCGCGAGACCCTGTCAGAGCGTCAGAATTCGTGAGACACAGTCTGCAGGTCTGCACACTGCGGAGCTGCAGACCACCAGCCATTGGTGCTCTCATCCTGGGCAGATTGGAGGGGCCTTGCACCCGGCGGCAACAATAGTATTCCTAACTATCCAACTGGACAGCTAATCCAGTTCCCAGTTTTAAACAGTTTAAACACAGCACTTTAAACACACAGGCTTTTACACAGTACATTTTCCTTTAGTGTTTTAGGCTTAACTGCCTCCTCTCTCCCAGCTGTTAGACTCTGATGCCACAGGTGCAGGTTAATTACATTCACCTGAAAGGGCTGAATAGAGAGCGCTCGAACCTGTTAGTAACATAGAAAGCCGCTCTGAACCTGCCACACAGCTTACAAATGGGTTTTACACACTTGTTTAATTATTATAAGATAGCATTGTAAAATCACCTGTGGTCTGGGTTCCGTTTCTCTGTGATAAGCTAGGAACATGTCAGACCCAATGTTTCCATTTAGAAATCCCATAAAACCTGCCAGTTCCATCTGACTAAATGTTTCGATAAACTCTTACATGCCAAATGTTTATTTTGTCGGACCCTCAGATGCTCTTTTTGCTCTGCTGTGAGACCATTAGAACATACTCTGACACTATGTATTCTCTCATCTGGGACTACTAGCAGAGCTCCTGACTCCCTGTGTACTCTGCTCTGGGACATTAAGCGGAGCCTCTCACTCCCTTGGTGCTGCTCTGGGACTGTAAGAGCCTATAATTCCTTGTCTTGTGACTATGTACTGTGTTCCGAGCCTGTTCAATGAGACTATTACTAGTAACTGATACCTAACTGGACCCAATACCTGCTTTTGGGAATCCTGACAATCTCCTCTTTCCAATCAGATGGTACAATGATTTTTTTTTTGGCGCATACAGAATCTTCTACTTCTTCCCTGATGAAGAATCAGCACGTCAAATATCAATTCACACTCGGACACACTACCGGGATTATCATCACCTTCCAGGAGAATAATCCCATTTCCGTACTTCCTTAGATATAATGTTGTTAGAGACCGTGATAAGGTAACACTCATAAAACAATCAACTGAATAAATATTGGCAAAGCACCAGCCTCTTAGTTAATTTGGCAATTGTCTTTGCGCAATACCAAGCGTGTCTTGAGAAATGTTTTCCTTGTATCATGATGTGGTTGTCAAAGAACAATGTGTATAGACAAAACCACGCAACCGCAGTGTGTCATAACTCTGACCCAGAGCTGGCTGAGGGTAATTGGAAATGGAATTTACAAACATCTGGAATGCCAAGGTTTCCTATGTCTGCCCTGCAGTGATTAGATGCCCCTTCAGCTGGCCAAACTTGGTGAAAACATTTGTACTTGGAACTTCAAGCATAAAGATTAATGCCATTTAACAGGACATCAGTCAATGCTGTTCAGCGCCTGTCTCCCGGTTATGGTCCACTGCTAAAATTTCAAATTTACTTTTAATTTCTAGCAAGTCACAATTTACAGGGTTTTTCACAAAAATTTGATTTTAAAATCCAAACGACAAAAAAGATATCACAAATAGAAGAAAGTTTCCAACTACCTTACACTTTTACTATTTTAGCATAGATTTTGACATTTATTTTCAATATACTAGAATTTAGAGTTTAGCGAATAAACCCTTTTTGTGACTAATCCTGCTGAAATAAGTATTTTTTCTAACAGGTGAAATACAATTTAAAGTATATCACTTGAGTGTGTAAAAGTGCAAGTCTTTTCCAAGGTCCAAACCAGCAGCCTAATCTATTTGACCGTCATGACGATCTACTTTTCTTGAGATTAAAAAATTTCCAGATTGAGGTTATTCCCTACTAAACTCCAAATTTTTGCGAATTATGGTCTTGATATAATAAGCTTTCCAAATGATTCAATGCTGTTACAAAAACCTTCCAAAATTATTTATCTACAGAAGTCACTTTTAATGTCTATGGACATTTTTGTAGATAAATCATTTGGAAGTTTTTGTAACAGTACTAAAGGCAGGTTAGTCATCAGTGTAAATGTTTTCAGCTGCAGAGTAAAAATGAGGGACATGGCACCCAGACCAGATTGAGATTAAGTGGTCTTGGTGCCCATAGTGTTCCTTTAAGGACTGATAACTATAATGGATATATGGTACAGAACTATAATGCAATCTTTACTGACCAAGTGGGTACAAATTATATCTTAAATAGGGATTATGGTCTGTTCTTTTTTTACATTTTAAGAGCTGTAGTGTCTATGGGAACTGTCACACCCATCTATGGGCCCATAGCAGTGCCTTGTCACAGCAAAACTATACCTCCAAACTGCCCTGGTATCAGCAAGACAGTCCTGAATTCTACTGTTAAAGCCCTCTATCACTGCCTCTGCTGTCCATTATCTATTGACACCATGGAACTGTTCCCAATCAGCATAGCATGAGTGCGTCAACAGAGGCCCTTGCGATTGCGGAGTATCATCAGGGCAGATTGCTTTAGCCTCTTTTTTTGGGTGGTCCCACTTGTCACCACCCTCTGCTGGGGTGCCCATCTTGGCCTCCCAGAGCCATATCTCCATTGCTACGGATACCGCTATCTCCTGGTGCTCCTCCTACCTCTCCCAGCGCCTTTTCATTGTTTCTTTCTCTGGCTCTGCCTCTTCTCCCCAACCCCTCTCTGTTGGCGTTCCCCAAAGTTCTGTCCTTGGTCCCCTACTGTTCTGCATCTAAACTGCCTCCCTTGGCATACCAGAACAGGAGAGGAAACATTGGCTGCAGGCAGATCACAGGTAAGAAGTCAAACCATTAGCAAATAAACGCACATAGTGTCAGCTCTTTATTCTTTCACACCAGTAAATTCTACTGAAACTTTTACTGGGTGAGTAGCTTTGCGGACATAAGTATAAAAACTTCCATGCTCAGCTCGATATTGTTTAATCAAGATGCTCCAGGTACATTTTTATGCTCAAAAATGGTATACCTGCGCATTGATGGTGTGCATTAAAATAATGTAATTAACATGCCATACTCTGGCTTATTTAGAGAAATAATCCCCCAGTTGCATGTTATTTAGCTATTGAGCTGTGATATTAATAGTTCCTCTCTAGTTAGGGCATTATATAAGATAACCAGGCTTTCTCAAGGCTGGATTGTGACCTATCAGCTCTGCCAGTAATTCAATCACCATTTTACTCTACATTCTCCTGCAATGTTTATTGTTATCTGGTCCAATCACTGATACAATGTTTATTGATATCTGGTCCAATCACCGATACAATGTTTATTGTTATCTGGTCCAATCACCGATACAATGTTTATTGTTATCTGGTCCAATCACTGATACAATGTTTATTGATATCTGTTTCAATCACCGATACAATGTTTATTGTTATCTGGTCCAATCACTGATACAATGTTTATTGATATCTGGTTCAATCACTGATACAATGTTTATTGATATCTGGATCAATCACTGATACAATGTTTATTTATATCTGGTTCAATCAATGATTCAATGTTTATTGATATCTGGTCCAATCACTGATACAATGTTTTTTGATATCTGGATCAATCACTGATACAATGTTTATTGATATCTGGATCAATCACTGATACAATGTTTATTGATATCTGGTCCAATCACTGATACAATGTTTTTTGATAGCTGGTCCAATCACTGATACAATGTTTATTGTTATCTGGTGCAATCACTGATACAATGTTTATTGATAACTGGTCCAATCGCTGATACAATGTTTATTGATATCTGTTTCAATCGCTGATACAATGTTTATTGTTATCTGGTCCAATCACTGATACAATGTTTATTGTTATCTGGTCCAATCACTGATACAATGTTTATTGATATCTGTTTCAATCACTGATACAATGTTTATTGATATCTGGTCCAATCACTGATACAATGTTTTTTGATAGCTGGTCCAATCACTGATACAATGTTTATTGTTATCTGGTGCAATCACTGATATCTGGTCCAATCGCTGATACAATGTTTATTGATATCTGTTTCAATCGCTGATACAATGTTTATTGTTATCTGCTCCAATCGCTGATACAATGTTTATTGATATCAGGTCCAATCACTGATACAATGTTTATTGATATCAGGTCCAATCACTGATACAATGTTTATTGATATCTGGTCCAATCACTGATACAATGTTTATTGATATCTGTTTCAATCACTGATACAATGTTTATTGATATCTGGTCCAATCACTGATACAATGT